TTACAACTACAACTTAACTATACGAACATCTACAACCATGGACTATAACATACTATAACTACATTCTTAGCAACCATGACTATAACTATAACACATCTACAACATGACTATAACTATCAACAAACATCTTTACAACCAGACTATAACGTATAAACAACATCTACAACCGATGACTATAACTATACAAGATGTTGTTATAGTTATAGTCATGGTTGTAGATGTTGTTATAGTTATAGTCATGGTTGTAGATGTTGTTATAGTTATAGTCATGGTTGTAGATGTTGTTATAGTTATAGTCATGGTTGTAGATGTAGTTATAGTTATAGTCATGGTTGTAGATGTTGTTATAGTTATAGCTACAATTACAGTTACAGTTATAGTTGTAGTTATAGTAATAGTTACAATTGCAGTTACAGTTGATTAGAAGGTCCTACATCAGCAGTGATTGGCTACGGCTGCGTGTCTACCACACCAGGTGGACAGGTCAGTTAACACTGCACACTCAGCACACTGTGCGGGTGATCCATACCTGCGACAGCTCCCCTCACCGCCTCCACGCTAGAGGGAGAGTGTAGCGCCGGGTGACCTCCAGGCGACATCGCCACTGGAAGCCGGGACGCGGGCGACGGTCCCGGCATGGACGGCGACGCGGGCCACCGGGTTCCCGGAGACTGCATCGGGAGATTGCTCGGGAACGGGGATCCCGACTCGGCTCCCGGAACGTTCCCTTTCTTCCTGCTCGGCGAGGCCGTATTGTCTGAAGCGCAACCCGCGACAGTTAGCAGGGGGTCAAAATTAACGTACTTTTCCAAAGAAAAATATTTATTACATAAAAACTGAAAGTAATTGTGTACGTTTCTAGTGGAAAAGTTGAAGAAGACAATTTTTCCAGTTCACTTTCGCCAAGTTTTGTTACCGTTAACACTCCCTGGTGTGAGAAAACATGTGAACACGCAGCTATAAATAGCTGTTATGCACCTTACCCATCGTTTTATCAAGAACACTAAACTTCTACAGATCATTAAATTCTTCGTCGTTTGTTCTTAATTTCAACCGCACAGAGCAGCTGTAGCAGCAGCATGAACGTAGTTCCACGATTCACGATACACACGTTGACGTAGTAACAATAAATGACATCCCACTGCACACAGAAACCGTGGCTATGCGTGTCACAACTCGAGCGCTAACTAACAAGAGTGTAACAAGGTCCTTATAGACAAAGTCCTTCAACCAGTTCTCACCCGAGGGCTGCATGAAGGCAGGCGAGTGCATGTGGGGCACGGGTGCATACACCTGCCCGGGGGAGGGGGCGTGGAGGGCGGGGCTGGGAGAGCTCGACAGCAACCCCCCTGGCGACGGCGTCGGCATCTGCAGCGATGGAGAGGGCGCTACTGTCGGTGGGGACGACAGCGGGAATCCGCTCCCAGGAGATGGATAGCCCTGCAAGATAAAATCATCAGCTTCAATACACACGCACGCACATTAACGTAAGAGCAGTCACGGAATAATCATTGAATAATTAGTAAATGATGGGCGTATCACTCACTGTTGTAAATTAACCAGTAAATCACCTTTGATCAGTGGATAACCAGTAAAATAATCAGTGAATAATTAGTGAATATCCGGCACATCGCCAACCTGATGTCAAATAACCAGTAAATCATCTCCGATCAGTGGATATCCACTGAATAATCATCTTTGATCAGTGAATAATCGGTGAATATTTAGTGAATGATTGGCATATCAGTCATTTCCCATAAAGTAATCATCTTTGATTTGTGAATAATCACTGAATATTTAGTGAATAACTGGTGTATCACTCAACTGATGTAAAATAATCATCTGTAATCAGTGAATATTTAATGAATAACTGGCATATCACTCATCTGATGTAAAATAACCATCTTTGATCAGTGAATAATCGGTGAATATTTAATGAATAACTGGCATATCACTCATCTGATGTAAAATAACCATCTTTGATGAGTGAATAACAAGTGAATATTTAGTGAATAACTGGCGTATCACTCATCTGATGTATAATAATCATTTTTTATCACTAAATAATCAGTGAATAATTAGTGATTAACTGGCGTATCACTCATCTGATGTAAAATAATCATATTTGATCACTAAATAATCAATGAATAATTAGTGAGTATCCGCAGGTAACATTCACCTGACGTAGAACAATCATCTTTGATCAGTGAGTAACCGGCGAACAACCGTGAGCAGTACTAACCTGGTGCAGCACGGACGTGTGTGGCGACGCGGGCGTGTGTGGGTTGGACGGTGGCGTCATAGGGTGGTGGAAGCGCAGACCGTCACCACGCTGTGCCGGAGAGCCGACGCCGGGCTGCTGCTGAGCGAGGAATGAGTCGACCGGCTCCATCGGCGAAGGCGGGTTGTCATCCTCCGTCATGGAGCGCGAGCGCGACGACGAGTCATCAACGTACATGTTCAGCAGCGTCTGCACGAAATAACGACAGTCGGGTCTGGCCGAGCGTACAATTAAGTACGCATTGAGAAATATTATTTAGAATTAATATATATTCTTCTATATATTCTCCATTCCCCATTATATTTAGAAATTCGAATAGCTTTGAAATCCGCGCATGTTTTTTTTGGATTCCCGACGTGATGTGACGAGAGGGAAAATTAACACGGCATTCACCCGAGATTTACACTACAGCTAGGTTTGCATTTTTACAACTTTTGCCATATTATTTATTCCTAATATATATGTATCGATCTCTCTCTCTCTCTCTCTCTATATATATATATATATACATATACATAAAGAGAGAGAGAGATATACGGGTCATATGTACGAGAACATATGTATACATATTTATATGCACATCATATATATATATATATATATATATGTGTTTCTGTGCACGTACGTATATATCATATATCGATGAGATACCTTCAAGCCCTGCGTGGGGTTGAAGCCTTCTATAGCCTTGCTCTTGTCAAACAGGCTGTAAGCTCCATCCCTGACTGCGACCAGACCGCCGCTGCGGCAGTGAACGTCGAGACAGTAGGTGCTGCGGAACGCTATCTTGATGTGAGTGCTCGACTGCACGATCACGCTGAAGTTCTGCACGGCCCGCTGAAATCAACGCGTTAACGACATGTCAGATCTCACTATAGTAACGAGAGGCGTGCCAACTCTAGTTGGTAGGGATTACAATACTTGCTGCACGGCACTGCAAAGTCCGGTACAGCTTGCACACATGCACACATGCAGAGAGACACAAACACGTGCACAAACACGTGCACGCACAAATTTTTTCCTGTGACCATAAAATAAATGCTGATCTATTATACAATGTTTGTTCAGTCAAGCCTTGAATGTTGCCACTGTGCTTGACGGTATGGCGGACAATGCCACACTGTTCCATAGATCTACAGTTCTGTACAATACAGCATAATCTATGATAGCTGACACATTATACTGACAAGTTCAGCAACAGCAGTTTATAGAGCTAATTTCTACACATTGACCTCCAGGTAGCGATTGCTAAGATAGATCAATTAAGATTAGCTTATAGAGGGAAACACGTTGCCACAGTTACAGTTGGTATTATGCGTCTGAGGTATGTGAATGAGTGGATGTGTGTTTTGGCATGATTTCATATATGTGAGCATGTAACAGCCTATGTTAGCCTTCACTTACGCTGAGGTTTGTACTTCCAGCGAGAGTCGGATTCGTGGGAAGCTTAGCGACTGCCACTAGAGGGTAGTACGTCTCATGTAGTACCTGAAACATACAAGCATACAACTATGTACAACAAATTCCAGTAACAACACATAAAACCACCAATCAACCCGGCTGTTAACTCTTGCACACAAAAAAACACATTGAATCATGGTAAGATCGACTATCTATAAATTTTTAGGTGAAGAGGGTTAAGGATTCAGAACACAAACCGGTCAAATTGAAGTCAGGTATGAAAATTAGGAACAGAATTGCTACTTTTTCTCCAGAAACTTCCAGAATCTACATAGGCATTGTAGATTTTTCAGGTAAAACTATTAACAAGGTGTATAACAGCTATTTATAGTTGCGGGTTCATGTCTTGCTTTCTCACACTATAGGTTTGCCTTCAGTGAAATTAGACAGCATACCAATTGGATAGGTGATTGAAAATATTTTCTTTTCGATAACCACATATATGTTAGCATTATGTCGCCATTATATAAAGGTACATAATTATGGAAAAGTGTGACAGTAAAGTGGAGAAAGGTGAAAAAGTGGAAAAGTAAAGTGTGTCACATGGAAATGTTAATTTTGAAGCGTGCATTGGTAAACGTCTCGACCGTGTGTCCATATAAACTGACCTGTACTAGCTGTGGGATGGATCTGTGCTGGTTGAATTCACACTGCAGCTGTGCGCTGACAATGCTGTGACAGTTTGTGTATGGCGACTCGTGTCTGGCCATGCAGAACGTCAGCTTGAACTGCTTCTCCTGTACCGACCACTCCAACACGACCTACGCACATGATAACACAGTAACTATAGTAACCAGTGTTATGACTCAGCACTTGCTACCTGCGGATCGTATAACCATAGCATGGTTTTAGGCATAGTAAACATATGCACATATCGTCCGTCACTGCAGCCGTTGTTCCATTTTCATGCCATGATTTCAAATTTGACTTTCAAACTTTCCATGTACTCAGCAGCTGTTACATTTGTTATGCTATAGAACTCAAGCGCAGAATTTTAGCATGCAATGAACATCGTTTCGTAAATAATCGAGCAACGCTAGTAAAAATTCGTCGATTGATCACCATATCAGGCCAAGTTTACAAGGGGTGTGTTGTGACTTCATTTGTTTCAAGGATCTAGCTCCAATTAGATATCAGGATACACTCGACTGTGCGAACCTCATTAGCCTCTTGACAGAGAATTCTGACACAGGCAATAAGCCATATCGGAAAGTCCTCGCCGCCATATTGAGATCAGATAAGAGGGGTGATAAGTTGCCTATATATAACATGGTTACGATAGTACTAGTCTAGGTTTTTTATCTACAATTCTCTCCACTAACATCGTACTTCTATTCACAGGTGCGTTTCTGTTTACAGAAACATTTAGAAATATGATTGTGGTCATTTGGGATATTTTGCAATGTTTGTGTTAATGCAAAAACTAAAAACGCACGAGTGTTTACATTAATCATGTACTTTCCTAAGCACGCCTCAGCCATTTTATCCCCCTTTTTCTATGACCTAAATGTCCACAGCTGGACTTTCTGATATCACTTATAGGAAGAACTTTGCGTGTAATGACAAGAGATACATGAAAATGCACTCATAGCAGTGTTACCTGGTTCGAAAACATCGGTCCGTAGTTTAACACCAGTTTCTTATAGTTGTATGAGTAAACCTCCACGATGCTGCACAGGGAACTTTGCACGTCTGCCAATAACATACATGAATGCATCACGAATGGTCAGCTGCAACTATATACAGCAATCATCTGTTTGACCGATAAATCAATGAAATGACACACAGACCCACAGACTCACTTAGCGAATCACATCAACTGCCTGCCTAATTCATAAATCTACAAGTCAATCATTCATTACCAGTCCACATTGTTAAAATTACAAAAAAATTGCTAAAATTACAGCAATAACCATTCATATATCAATCCGGTAATTTGAACGCGTCAGCAAATCGACTGGTACAAGTTACAACTTGGATTCTACATCCGAGATGCGAGAATCATTACACTCCTAAGCTGATGCGATCACATTTCACAAATAACACTGATGCAACTTGTCCACGAAATACCTGGTTTACAGGATTTTCTCCCAACAGATGGCGCCACGTACCTAGCATGTAGTCAGCAAAGTCTACGACGGCCACGTACAGATGCACCATGAGCTTCCAGTGTTCTATAAACGCATCCACGACCTCTGATATCTTCTCGTTCTCGACAAAGTCGTACTGGAAGTAGATGTGCTGTCGGGGTGTCTGCTCTTTCTCGCAGATCGTGAGCAGAGGGCCACGAACGAGTACAAACTGCAAAAGAGCAAGCGGCAGATGCAAGCGGCGTGGCAGCAGGTGGTTGCCGAGCGTCGCCCCAGCAACGGGTGGCCGCGCACTGTCGCCATGGCAACGGGTAGTCACAAAGCGTAGCGCATTATAACATGGATATTTTAATAATGTTTTATTAAATATAAATTTCAGTAACATTTCATGTCGGGTTGAATTGCAAACAACAGGTAGAAACTAGAACACGTAATCTTAACTCTCGGGAACACAGCTTGAATGCAATTGGAACTTTTAACCCTATCTGTGTGTATGTTCAACAGTCTGCATGCACACATGCTCCTATAAGAGGGATGGTCATCACTAAGTCTACGCACCTCGACGACCCACAGCCGCGTGGGTTTGCCTCCCTGCACACGGAACGCGCAGTTTATCAGCTTCTTCTGTAGATTCCTCGCTCCCTTGTTTACAGTGACACCGGGCATCCTAGCCAACATACACACACACGCACATACATGTAATACTACATAAAATACTTTGCCACAGCAAATACATGATAGAAATGCGGATTACACGCGAATGTGACGAGCATATGAATCGATGAAAACTGTGCGATCAGTTTGAGTGTTGAGAGCTAATGCATAAGCTGTAAGAAATTGTTCAGCTCATTAAATATTTGCCTGGCTGTAATTACCAACAGGGACTTTAATCGTGTGCTATCTTTTTAGTACTGGAACAATATAGACTGACTACACCACAAACGACTGCAACTATATTGTAATGATATATCCACTCACTCGCATGCACAAACTTGTATATATAACAATCTTACTTATTTATATTACATATCGTTAGATTTGAAACTTTTCCACAGAATAAGTAATTACTTTTACTTTCAATGTCATGATTTGTAGCATCTGTATATGAACATTTTACTACTACTACTACTACTGCTTCTACTGCTTCTGCTGCTGCTGCTGCTACTGCTGCTGCTACTGCTGCTACTTATGCTACTACTGCTGCTGCTGCCTGCTAGCTGCGGTCTAACTGTCTACTGCTACTGCTACTGCTACTGCTACTGCTACTGCTACTGCTACTGCTACTGCTACTGCTACTGCTACTGCTACTGCTACTGCTACTGCTACTGCTACTGCTACTGCTACTGCTACTGCTACTACTCCTACTACTACTACTGCTGCTGCTACTGCTACTACTACTACTTATGCAGACTCAGTGTTTGTTAATGATTACTTATTGATAAAGAAGCACTCACGTGATCATCTTCAGAACTAGTCCTGTTCCAAATGGATCCACCTCAATACCCTGATGTGCCTCTCCTCTCCCGCTCAGCTGCAAGTACATAAAGGAAATAAAATTAATCATATACACACAAGGAAATCGAGATGACGATTAAGCAACCAACCATTTGTGGTACTTTTGAGAGAAAAATTATTACACTAAATTACTCAAACATACACATACCTCTTCACACACACACATACATTCTCTCACACACATTCTCTCTCACACACACATACCTCCTCTCTCACACACATACATTCTCTCTCACACACATAAATTCTGTCACACACACACACACATTCTCTCATGACGCACACAGACAGCACGCACATACATACCTCTTCACTGAGCACCCAGAACGGAATTCTCTCCTCGCACATGGCAACCGCGTGCGCTAGCTCAGGGATGTGATACCAGCTCTCCGCTCTCAGCTTCTTCGATGCCGAATCTGTGCCAGACAGCTTTCTCTTTCCCGAATAACCCCCATTCTTCTTTTCCTGCTCCGGAACTACAGACGCCAGACAGAAGCGTTCATGATAGCAAGATTGACGTGTCAATCAACGATAAATAACGCAAAATTAGGAAGACAGTTGTGATAACTAGTTGTGACAGAACAAGATGACGGATGAATATCTGTAGATGAACGACGAGGATTACATCGGTCGACTGCGACAGCACATGTTACGCTTCACACTCCAAACAATGACACAATAAATAACCATTGTAACGAGCACCTAATGTCAGATACATTTTCATCGAGATATTAATCTAAGTCTCAACCTTTCCTACGTTTTATAATAGCATCCCTCATTATCGAAAGACTACAATTTTCCGGACAGCGACCCCGGATCAAAATTATAATTAACTGGAAAAAAAAACATTGTGTAACCGAGTGTTCTGTGTGAACAGGCGTCGTAACTCACCCGCCGCTTGCGTGAATGGTCCGTGCGTTATAGCGTACGTGTCAAACTGTATGAGACTGGTGACTCGCAAGTAAGGCGTCGGCGTGTCCGGTGGCGCCCCCTCGTAGGCCGCCACCTTCGCCGTCATCATGTAGTAGGTGGGAACGATGATGCGGCGGTCCTCCTCACTCTCATTGAACTCCACGACCTCAGGTAAGAAGCGCAAACATGTTACGGTCACATAGCATACACGTCACTGCTCTAGCTGCATTTGTATGACACTTGTAGATGTATAACACACACACACACACATGCACACGCGCACACGCATTACATAATACACAATACACATTATGCACCCACAATACACGCAATACAACCACAATACACATGATACAACTACAATACACATGATACAACCACAATACACACAATACACATTATACATGCACAACAGAAGGTTATGAACAATGCACAAACAATATATTATACATTCACAATACACCATTCATCAGCAATTCTACCTAACCTCCTTCACATCTTACACGACCGCAAGGACGGATAACTGCTTTACTGCACCATGCTCTAAGTTAACATTGATAAGCAAAACGGACGTTAACAAAGGCCTGCCACACTATGCTATCGATGACATGGTTTGAAGATGCAGTATGCACGCAAGGATGGAGTAAGCATGAACAAATCTTATCCTCACCACGTAGCAGTTTGAGTACTTGGTCAGGCAGAGGTACATTCTGTGTTTGCTCAGCGCCTGTAGAGGGCTCTGCTCCCAGCCCACCAGGGGGAGCTCCGTGTGGCACTCGACAAACTGATGTTGGACCGTGCGATCGATGCGGCTTAGCATGAGCTCAAACCTGCAGCGAATAAAACAATTGCTATCAGCAGGTAGGGGGCGCTGTGGGCAAAGAAACGACTGCTCAGTGCTATCAGCAAGTAGGGGGCGCTGTGGGCAAAGAAACGACTGCTATCACCAGGTAGGTGGCGCTGCAGGGAAAGAAATCATGGACGTCAGCATGAAGATTGAATGATATTTTGGAATATTGATAAAATTCAGGAGCCACATGTAACAACACATATTACGCTATATAAATGTAATCATTCAGTCCAATTGAATAGTGTTACCATTCAGCTTTGATACACCTCATGAGTGACAATTTCATTTTGTAATAATGAAGGAATGGAAGACTAGCGTGTTTTTTATTACCTGACTTCAGTTAACAGCCTCTCTAAATCTGCTTTCTCGCCATTGAGTGCATTCTCTATGTCCTTGACAGTCTGATGAACAGGTTCTGTAATATAAATTACACAGAGGGACATGTGAAATCAGGTACTGCGCCTATATATGGTCCTATTTCTATCCAATTCTCTTAGGTTACATGCATGCTATTCTATATAAGATCAATATGTGACTATAAACATCTTTTCCTATCTGTCACAACACTACTAATCTTCATCGTAGAGCCACGCTATTTCTTACGACAGCGCCGCCATTGCACGACGCGTTGCCACGGCGACGCGCGTGTTAGCTTACCCCAGAGCGGGATGCTGGTGAGAACTCTGCCGGTGAGGAAGTCGACGGACACATGCAGCTGCTCAGAGGCGATGCAGGGAGAGAGTAGCGGCACAAACAGCACGGCCGGGGTGCCACTGATCACACCTACAAACACAACGTCGCATCCGTTAGAGGCGATGTCTATCCCGATCTATACCGCACCTTTACTTACTATTCCTCTCGTCGTGATGTGATAGTTGTAACATTTGTTGGTACAGGCAAAGGCGTTATTAGTTGTAATAAAAAAATTGCTGATCCCTGCACCTTTACTTACTATTCCTCGTCGTGGTGTGATAGTTTTAACATTTGTTAGCGAGGGAGGGGGGGGTGTTATTGAACAGCATGGCCGGAGTGCCGCCGATCACACATACAAAACATCGTCGCATCCGTTACCGGGCAACATCTATCCCGATCACGACGCGTTTACTTACTATTCCTAGCGGTGGTGTGATAGTTGTAACATTTGTTAGTGCAGGCAAGGGTGGTATTCAGTTTAATAACACATTGCAAATTAAATAATGTAACTGTAAATGTAAAAATTTGTAATGTAATAAATTGTAGGTCACCATGGCATGTGGGAGAAGCACCGAGGCAATGTTGTTGCTACGTGATTACATTAACATGTGCAATGCATAGTTTCCTTCAATATTAGAAGGGTCAAATGTTTATGATAGCAAAGAAAGGCCTTGGCTTTAATAAGAAATATTAGGGTGACATGACAAGTTGGAGTGGTACCAGGGCAAACATTTCTTCCTTCAATGAAGGGTAAGCAAGGCAACTTTTTAACGATGCTTTTTATATGCGACAAAGAGAAAAGAATACACACTACAGAATTTATGGAAAGGGCACGGTGGCAAACCAAGTAGGGCAGCCACAGAGGTTTATTGCTGTGGATGTCGTTCAATGTTCCTGTGAATCACTGCAAGTCAGGAGAGCAATCCCGGTACTTGCCCCGTCAGTGAGATATGAGCTCATGTATGAAGATCACCGCACTTACTCTTGCCAGTAGTGAATTTCTCCATGGTCGAGGATATGTCTTCTAACTTTCCTTTGGCCCTCACATGAATCGTATGAATGAGCAGCTTCTCTATTGACAAATGCTCCGACTGGAAATGTTGGAAATGGAAACTCTTTTTTTCCATGTATTATAAATCCTGTAAAAAACTACAGTTTGAATTTCTTCCCAAAAACCGCATGGCATTCGACTCCATTCACAATGTTTCAGAGCCCTATCAGAAAAATGATTACTGTCTTTTCAAGTAATTAGTCTTCTCATTAGATCATTTAAATAAAACTATTCAAAGCAATATTCAGAAAGAAATAACAGTTATATAACAATCTAACAAATACACTCAAGTATTGGTTGTTTTGCTAACTCAAGCTACTGCAATAATCGTGAGATAAGAGTTGTTGAAAATAGCATCATTTACGTTATGTTTATGTCATAATAGTAATAATTTATCAACATTAATAATTATCATAGTAATAAATCATAAATTAATAGTCGTTGACAACAGAATGCAAGGTTCGCCAAAGAAATTTCAGAAGGCAAGCATAGACAAGCACAAGCATATGTACGCGCCCTGGACAAGGACTCTCGGGTCTCTACCTTCACAGCTTGCTCAGCCAGCGTTGAATCCCTGATTACGGGTTTGTGTACGACCTGTAGTGGCTTGTTGCTGTCGTGAGCGTCGACCTGTACCGACAGCGAGTAATCGCTCACCGTGTAGTTCTTCAAGCCCTTCCTGCAACGACAAGCAAGACCAAACACAAACCTTGTGATGAATATGCTCCAGGTACTGATCCACTGCAGAACCATCACGACAAATGTCTTCTAGAAGTCAGCAATTAAATGATTGCGATGAAAAGGTTCCCCGGAGCGCATAAATGCTTGTTCATTCTACAATGTACAATTTCATTAAATCGAAACAAGTGCCGCAGAGTGACAGCGCTCAACTGTCGTGTACTGTAGCCAGGTATTCTTCTGATAAACTCACTGGCAACCAAATAAAGTGCGCCCTTCTGCCACCGCGTTCACGCTCAGAGCATATATATCTACGATATTACTAATACAGATCTAAAATCTATGATAGGTTTTGCTATACCTACTGGTAGTACAGCAATACGTAATAAAGATACAGCTGTGTAACTTTAATGACTTCGCTATATTAACATGTTATCATGGATATGCGTCAAGCGCGAGCGTAGTGGTGGTGGTGGGCGAGGGTGGGGGAGGGGTGGAGGGGGAGGGTGGGGGGGAGGAGCGGGTGGAGGGGGCTCTAATAGCAAAAGCAGTTGTCCTTTGTTAACAGCCAACAATTCCATGTTTAACACTCCTCTTGAGGGTCAAAAAGTTATCAGACACTTAATTTTCGCACGTCAGCGGAAAGTAGATTTCATGGTCCTTTCAATAAAGTGATAAAAACGGTAGGTATAAAAATCCTTCCCCACCCTCCCCCTCACCCCTCCCCACCCGTCGCCCACCACCACCACTACGCTCTCGCGCTTTGCACGGAATATCCATGATAACATGTTAACTATAGCAAAGTCATATCGTCACAGCTGTATCTTTATTACGTATTAGCTGTATACCAGGGTAGGTTATCAGCCAAAGCCCTATCCCGGGCACCTCCGATTTCAGTATCTGTATAGTAACTGAGTATTTGGAATATATATTGCTCTGAGCCGCGAACGCGGGTGGACAGAGCCTCCTTGTAGCTCCGGATGGGCGCACTCTTTTCGGTCGCCCAGTGTGAGTTTATTCAGTAAGAATACACTGGCTACAGCGGCTTTCGATTTTTGAAAAGTTACAGGAGGACTACTATGACTCCCTCTAGACCACCATAGGGGACTTTTACACGCCTTCCATCCATCACACCCCTTAGAGCTATGATGGAGGCTTCCATTAAAAAAATCACACGCCTTAAGAGGCATTGATGGAGAGCTTCCCACTTAAAATCATCACCTTTAAAGGTCTGCCCATTGTGTTTAAGGATACGGACCGAAGGGTGTATGAAAAACTGCATTCTCATTGCTTACTGAAACAAGAGTTCGGGCCTAGAATAATACTCAGTCAGGGCTCGCTGATCCATCTGCAACTCTGTTTGGACAGCGGAAAACTAGCCTCAAGGCCACGCAGTGACGCGGCGTGCTTTTGATTGTTCACGATCAGTCATCGCCTACTATATATACGGCCTGCGTAGCTTAGCTGCGCGGCATACACAACCACACCACACTTGCAGCCGTCAAATTAAACGCACACACTGGCAACGTCTGACAATCGATCAAACAGTGAACTACAAGCCGGCCGTCATATATTGTGCTCACACCACGCAACTGATATTACAATGGTATTAACTGAACGGATACTGTTAGTTCGGTTGTTGCGACTGCTAAATATGAAAATAAATTCTGCTACAGTTGCTAACCTCCTACAAATTTCCTCCTCTCAACGCGATTTAGACGTTTCACAAAATCGACCCTGGGACTGTGAATTCGCGGATTTCGCTGGCTTCATCGGCGGCGAGATTCTCATCCCTGGAAAATGGAAAGCGCTATTTTCAAAGCATAATACTAGCATTTGGTCGCGCGATTTCAACCACTTTTATGAGGCCGCGATGCTCATGCGCGCCGACCATGGGCACAATTTTATGCCGTGCGCAGGCTGTCGAGCGCTCTCGATCCATTCAATTACGACTAAAAAATATTTAAACAAAAAAATCCACACATTTACATCAAGATACTTTATAAACACCAAGATGCAGCGATCTTGGCGCCCTATAATAAAATGAAAAGCCTGACTACAGTAGACGTCAGATTGAGCGCTGTTCGCTGCTGCCCAATCAATTGGCACTTTGTTATCTGAACATTTCTCAAATGCAATTGGATACTTGTAGAATAATGAAACAGCATTATATGCGCTCTGACGTGTGAGTAAAGAAGAGAACCTTTTCACTCGCTCAATAAATTTAATTGCTGACTTCATAGCAAGACAATTTTGTCGGTTGATGGTCTCTCGCGCGTGTTCCAGATACCCTGGTGTTAGCACATCATTCATTCACGAAGCGGTTGTGTTGTTGGTGTCTTCGTTGTTCGTGCTAAGAGAAGACGGCTTGAAGAAAGAACTACTACGCATTTCAAGTGAAGCGTGAATTACTTCAGGCTGTCGGTGAAACAGTATACCTTTGTCGAAACGCATCAACGGACTCGAGCAACAAGCCGACTTACAAGGAATCGCTACAATTTACATAACCCGGTTATATCAGTGATTGGGCACGACGCTGACTGGTTTGAGCAAGCTGTGAAAGGTAGAGCGCGAGTCAGTCCTTTCCAGGGCGCGTTACAATATGCTTTGTTGCTTTGTCTATTCTTTAGCACTTCTGAACATTTTCTTCATATGGTGAAACCTATGCATTCTGTTTGTCAACGACTATTTAATTGATGATTTATTCACTAATGACATAATTATTATTAATGTTAGGTGATAAGATATAATCAATTCTATTATGACATAAACTCATACCAAAGTACTTAATGAGTGCCTTAATTTTCAACAACTCTTATCTCATCACGATTATTGCAGTTGCGTTGCAAAGCTGTGATGGCGCAAAACAACATAGTTTGAAATTGCTGAGGTAATGAATTTGTTAGTTTGTATATATAGCTGTTCATTTCTCTATAACTGAATATATTGCGTCGAAGTTGAAATAGTTTTATATCTAAACAGATTCTAATGTTGAGAAAGGCACCTAACATTACTATAAAAAAAGACATAGTATAATCATGTTTTAACGTATCTCTTTGATCCAGGGCTCTGACAAGCATTGTGAATGGTAACCGTGCAGTCTTGATTAATGCCATGCTGGTTGTTTTGAGGTCTAAGAAAATTCTAAGCTTGTAGTTCTTTATTACAGCTGATTTATAATACATGGAACAAAAGGTTATCCATATCCAACAAATATTACCAGATCGGCAAGCATTTTGTTTCAAATAGAAGAAAGCTGCCTCATATCAATACGATTCATGTGGAAGGTTCCACAAAAGGAAAAGTTAGAAGACATATCCTCGACCCATGTTCGAGAATCAATCTAAACTGGGAAAGATAAGCTCGGTGATATTTCATACTAATTATGAAGCCTCATATCTCGAAAATGGACGGGTCATAGTACCATAGGTGTCTTACGGTACTGAGATCTACCCCCAGTTCTGAAATTTACCACTAGTAGCACCTCGTCGTGCGCAAATTAGCGTGAACGCTAAAATAAAAACTGTTATTGCGGCAAAGTATTGCCGCATCGTTGGATAATATGAGCCTCTCCCCGCCGGCCTTGCACGATCTGAGTTTTAGTCTGGAGCATGTAGGTGATGAAACACGGTAAATTACACAGAGACCTGGGATCATCACATAAAGGTACAAATATTAATATGCGGACACTCCTAAATAATATAGTTAAAAATAGATCATTATGTATACTATATTAAAAAGAGAAATACCGCAGCGAGAGGTAACAAAACGGGATAATAGGGCTAAACAAGTGGTCTGAGGAATTACCCCCTAGTCTGAAATCTTGCACCCTGCCATAATTATATCCGATTAGTATCGATGTGCCACAATAGGTGAAGGTTTTAAATATCAGTGACTGGAAAGGTAATCTCTTTGACTCGGATTTTAAAAATATAAATCTTTAGTCACAGGGTCTGAGATTACCGCCAGTCTGGAAAGTTACCATTGCAAATTATCATCCTGTTGGACATTAGAGTGGCGAATAAATAATTCAGATCTGGGGTAATCTACAGACCGGTAATGTGTAACGATTACAAAAAGCACAGACTTATAGTCCAGCCGAATGTCACGGAATCTGAGCATTAACCCCCAGTCTGAAATTACCACCTGCCCAAATTATCAATCCGTGTGTGCCCCATACGTGGGTAAACTTCAGACAATTATGGTAATGTTATATAAATTCGCTCAGTCTCGTGGGGAATTCATCTGGAGGAATTGCTTGTGCGCCGGGCGTAATCGCCGAATCAAGCGGCAGAACCATTGAAAATTCACTGTAACTCGTGTTGACACGACACAACCAGCGCTATCCTGCCCATAGCGGCACCGGTTGAATAGTAATCAGGTGTCACAAGCGGGCCATTGCAGACGCGAGTGAAGAAATCGTCACAGAGGAGGAAGAAGCAAGGTGATTGGCAGGAGGAGAGCGGCCGAGTGTGTCCTAGGAGCTTTAAGGTTAGGACCGTAAAGGGTGAAGCCGTTTCTATAGTAGGAAGGGCGTAGGATGTGACTGTAGAGAGGCGTAAAGCTACTTGCGGAAGTACTATCCCCACTAGTCCGAGCGAGCAGAGCAGACCCAAGGCGGTGTGGTGGAGGCCCGCAACGGCCTAGGCAAAAGT